CCTCTTGCATGCAGCTCATGCATTCTACAGGAATATGAGCACCCACCACGTTCCAGATAATGAGGGGAATAAGTAGGACACTGGCCCTGCCGCCACAGAGTCGTGGTCTACACAGGTATGCAGACATACACAGACAATATTTCTACACAGACAAGGAACACACCCAAATTTATAGTTTAAAATGTGGAAGAAAAAGGACAGAATACTGTAAGAAAGTACAGGAGAGAAAACTAGTTTGGATTTTAGAATCACAGCAGACCTCTCGGAAGTGACACTTGCATTGAGACCTGAAGGATTATTAGGAGCTAGCCAGAGGGAACAGTGCATTCTAGGCTCTGAGAAAGGAGAGGTTTGGTGAGTTCAAGAATCAGAGGAAGCCAATGTGGCTGGCGCTCAGAGTGAGGGCTGAGCTCCGGGAGGGCAGAACTTGCCGGTCCTCATGGGCTCTGGTGAGAAATTTAGGTTTTGTCCTCACTTGCGGAGGGTTATTTCCTTCTGTGCTTTGTGATTTGGGAAAGTGGGCTCCTATTCAGTGCAGCTTTATCAATGAGAATCGTGTAAAGCAGAGGTTTTGAATTGAGGACAGGAGCCTCTGTCATAGCTTCAGTGTTTGCTTCTACTAAAGAGACAAGTCTTTTGTTTGGGAGGGAGAGGCAGGCAAGGTTGGGAAGCGGGAGAGTGGTACGTTTGGGAAAGGAGAGGAAAGAGATCTAGAAGAGGCAATGTGGTTGGGGATAGGGCGGGGATAGGCTTGGGCATGGGAATAGAGAGCCAGGGCTTCCTCCCGTCTCTTGTTTTGTTGGTAACAGGGCCTCGGTTGCAGGACTAGAAACAAGGCGGTGCTCGGGGTGCCTTCCGATTGGCCCTGGGGCTGAGCACTGGGCATTCTGTTCCTTGAGAAATGGCTTCCAATCAGCCCATCACCTGCCTGCCAACAGGTACTGGGTGAAGGGAGAAATGTCTCAGCAGCTGAGTGGCCTGGGAGGGCTGGCAGGGTTCTAGAACCATCTGCGCAAGAAAAGCGATTCTCCCAGCGGCTGGAGACGCCCCTCTCGAGCCCGGAGCGCCCAAGAACGGCGGTTACC